TTTTCCTTATTTTAAAAAAGGAAAAATGAATTGAAACAAGTTGAAATTATTAGAGGTTCGGCCGTTATTCAAGGAGGTTCTGTTTCGAATGAGCTTACGCCTTACTAGAACATTTTTTAGGCTTGTGTACCTAGAGTACTGCACGTTCTCGGTTCTAGTTAGCAGTAGCTCAACTGACTTCTTTCCTTCCATCGTGGTATTCGATAAGGGTATCCCTTATTCCTCTTCCTTTTTATTCTGGCGACAAACTACTTGTCTCGCTGCCTTGACGGATTCGTTCGCGATTTTCCGAGGATGACATATAGCACGCAAGGCTATGGTCCCCAATCTCGCACCTCTCTTACGCGGATGACATTATTATTTTCACTCGTGTGGATAATAATGGACTGTCCGAGCTCATGCGCCTCTTGGGGCACTATAGCTCGGTGTTCGGTCAGCTTGTTAGTGTGTAAAAGAGCACCTTCACCCTTGATCATTGCATTACGGACCAGTGGGCTATTAGGTCCACGAGCGCGCTGGATTTGCGTGTGACGACATCCCCATCACCTATCTTGGAGCCTCCTGTACAAGGGTTATCTCTCGCATGAGCTCTTTACAGACGTTAGGCATAGGATGATTGACCGAATCTCTGGCTGGTCCCACAGACCCCTCTCTTTTGGGGGTCGGTTTGCTCTGATCAAGAGCACCCTCAACGCCCTTCCGCTTCACCTCCTTTCGGTCCTCGACCCCCACTAGTCTACGATTGTATCTACCATAACCTATTGTGTAGATATTGGAGCCATTGATCATGTGCAATTCTTTGCAGGGGTTCCAGGAAACCAGGTAAGTTAAGGAGAGAGAATCACCATCTACATGGGTAATGCTACGAAAGTGGCAGCTGTTGAAGTGGGAGAAGTTACTTTATCGTTTGATAGTAGTAGTTTGGTTTTGAGACATTGTCTTTATGTTCCTAGTTTTAGATAGAATATTTCTTCAGTTTCTAAGCTTATTTCGGTTGGTTTTTCATTTACGTTTGATGACTTGGTTATTATTCGCTATAGAAATCGTTTGATTTGTTTCGGTTCATTAATAGGCAATTTGTATATTCTTAAACCAAACTATAGAACACTGCAACAAACTGAATTGAATAATGTCATGATTAATCTAATAGCGTAATTGGTACGAGCCATTTTTTGTAAAAAAAAATTACTTAAATGTTTTTGTTTTTTTCTTTCAAATGATAAAAGAAAAAAAAAACTTCATTGTATCTTATAACATTTAAAACATTATAAATATAAAAAATGTTGTAAAAAATAAATAACTATATTTATGATTTATATAATTATATATACATATAAAATAAGTAAACAATTATATAATTAAGTTGACTAGGGGTGGGACCGGTCTGGTTATTATTCAAAATTGGAAGAACCGAAAATCGAAGCATATGTAAATTTTCGGTTCGGTTACTCTATACTTTTTTTTAGGGACCGAAAAAGAACCGAACCAACCATTTTCGGTTCGGTTCCTCCGGTTCTTTGGTTAACCGAACACAGTGATAAAACCGATATTGACCGGTTATAAACCGGTTATTGTTGTAGAAACCGGTTATTTTTGAACTATTATGAACAAGTCCCATAAATCATAATATATCAATACAAATTACAAAATACAAATTAGCAATCATGACATGATTCAACTTACAAGACTTAATACAAATTATCATCATGATTCATGAACCACAGTACCACATCATTCATCAAATCCAACATACACATTAGTTATTACAAAGCCAAGCTGCCAAAGTCCACAATCCATATCAATAATCCATAATCCACAATTCACTTCAGTCCACAGTCACAATTCACTTGAGTCCACACTTCACAGTTCCAAACAACCACAACAAATCATAATAACTAAATAACATATCAGTTACTGAGTTACATAATCCAATGTTCAAACTTCAAATTCAAACTTCCAAATAAAAGCTCAAAGCCAAAGCTGACATTCAAAACTCAAAAGTTAAATGGCAGATTACATTTCAAATTTTCTTTTTGGAAGAAGTTCCAGCATCAGAGCCTTTGGTGGCTTTTGCAGCTTTATTTTTCTTCTCAATCAACTCCATTTCCTTTTGTTTCTCTAACTTCTCTCTATGCTCTCTCTCCTCTTGGTCCAATTCTGTCAAAACAGAAATAAAAATCAAAAAAGAAATAGGGGAAAATCAGTAACACTAATCAAATGATTTCACAAATTACACATGTCCAATATAACTCACCTTGTTCAGTTTTTTCAAACCATTCAATTTCATCTGGGGTAGGAGTGTATGCAAGGGTTGTGATGGAATCAGACTTAAGCCAACTTTGAAGACAGATCAGTGCTTCCACTGATCTAGGAGTTAATGAACTCCTATGAGGATCAATAACTCTTTTCCCAGTGCTAAAACTTGACTCAGAAGCAACAGTACTAATTTGAACGGCTAGGACATCTTTAGCAAGTGCTTGCAAATTAGGATACTTACCTCCCATTAGCTTCCACCATGACAAAATATTAAAATCAACTCCTGGACCTGGCTTCTCAATTGGATCAAGTAGGTATCTGTCTACCTCATGAGCAACCACAACAGCATCAACATCTTGAAGGTCTTTTTTCCAATCTTCCATCATTTTTGCTTTCTTTCCTGTCAGCTTGTTTGAAGAACAACTACAATATAAAATAACAAAAGTAAATGCAAACAGAAACAAGATGAACATGAAACTAACTATGAAAGAAAAACAGAAAAGTAACTCTTTCAAAAAAAAAAAAAATACATGCTTCCACTCTCAGTTTCATCACCATCTGCCTTCTTTGTGCTAGAACTTTGAACACCATTCATTGAAGCATACAAGTCAGTGAGAGTAACAATCAAGTCTTTCAAAGTTTCAGTCCTTACTTTTACAGTAAAGGCATCATAATTCAACATCCTCTCAAGAACCCTAGTGAAACATCTTAAATCTAGGGTCTAACACCAAAGCAACAAGCAGGAGCTGATTCACATCATCTAGTGAATCAAAGTACTTGTTGTACTTGCTCCTCATTTGGACTAAAATGTTGAACAATGTTTTCTCATAATCTGTGCTGTGGTTTGTGATTGGTGCATCAAAAATCTCTTCAATCTCACATTTAATTGAAACAATATCATGAAATGCCTTGTGAGCAGTAGGTTTGCTTGAAGCACTAACATTCAAAGTGACATCAAAAAACACTATCAAAAACTTGACAAATGCAAAAACTTTCTCCCAATCATCATCAGTTGGAGGCCCCACTTTCTTCCCTCTCACTCCTTTATCTTTCTTTCTTCTAATAATTTCAGTCCCTTGCCCTTGGTCCCCTATAGGTTCAGGTTCATTTCCAAATTCAATCCCTAGAACATCTTCTCCTTCTTCCTCATTTTTCTCATCATCCTCATCAAAATAACTTCTATACTTAGTGTCTTCTTCTTCAGCCAATCTATCAAATGCTTGTCTAAGTTCAATAGCAGTTTCAAGCATAATAAAGCTGGAATTCCACCTAGTTGGCACATCCAAAACACACACCTTTCTACTCTGAAGTTCTTCTTTTTTTACACATTCTTTAAAGGTTTCTAACCTTGCAGGTGAGCTTCTCATATATTTTACAGCATTTCTAATAGAAGCAATTGACTTATCCATGCATTTAAGGCCAGATTTGACAATAAGATTGACAACATGAGCTAAGCACCTCATTTGAAGAAACTTTTCCCCTAGAATCAGTTGTCTTTCACCATTGTCTAGTTTCCTTCTCATGTAATCTATTGCCACTTTGTTTGCATGGTCAAAATATTCTTAATAGACCAATCTTGCAAACATTTTTCTAAAATCTTCCCTATAGTAATTCCTTGATGATTAGGAATCACACAGAAGTTCAACACCCTCTTATGCATATGCCAATTGCTATCAATGAAGTGTGCTGTAATTACCATGTAATTTATGTTTTGAATTGAGGTCCATGTATCAGTGGTCAAACTAACACAATGATTCCTCAGCTCATCTTTCAAACTCTCTTTTTTGGTATTATACATGCTCAGGAAATGTTTCACCACCATTTTTCTACAGGGAATCTTCCATTTTGGCACAACAACTGAACAAAATCTTTTAAACCCTGATTTCTCAATTGCACTAAATGACAATTCATCTATAATTATCATTTCAACAGCTGTCTTAGTGCAGTTTTCTTGGGTCCAATGTGTGACAATTGATTCATTACCCTCTACATCTCTTGAAAAATGTTTCTGACCAGAATCAGTATTTCTTGCACTACCAGGATAACCATCACAATGCAGTTCTAAATGCTTCTAAATAGTTCCATTTCTAGTTGAATTACAAGCCAAGTCAGAATCACAGTACCTGCATTTAGCTCGGTTGGTTAATCCAACTTGGACAAGTACCCCCTCCTCGTTTCTGCTCATCAGTGGCTTTTTCACTACTTCAAAATGCTTCCACACCCATGATTTCTTTCTTTTGGTCTCAGTTTGCTCGTCGCGTGCCCTTTTCTTCTTCGTCTTTGAATTTGGCCTCGAAATTTTATTTTGCCCTAATTTTTTGCCCTCGTTTTCATCACGATCTTTGTCTAATTTTTTAGAAAAATTAGTTTTGTCGGAAGAAGAGGCCATGCGAAGTAAGAAAAATCGAACAAGATTGAAGATTTTTTGGATGATTGAATGAAAATTGAGATTGAGAATTCAATTTAGGGTTTTTTTCTTGAAGGGTCGCAGAGGAGCAGAAATTCGAAGAGAGAGAGAGATTGATATGAGTTAATGAGAGAGAGATTATAAATTGAAATAAAAATATGATGTTCAGAAATAAAATGTTGGGCTTGGACATTTAAGTGTAATAGTATAAGGAAATTTAAGATTGGGCCAGGCCCACTATATATTATAAAATATAATAAATATATAAAACCGGTTTCTTGGTTAATTGTAAACAATTTAGTTTATAACCGAAAATCGAGAACCGGTTTCTAGACTATAGAACCGAACCGAAAAAATGTCAGATTTTTAGCAAAAAACCGAACCGAACCGGCTATTTTCGGTTCGGTCCGGCTCGGTTTTCCGGTTCCCGGTTTTAAAATCCCACCCCTAAATTCGACCACGGTCGAACCAGTGAACCATTGAACTTGTAGCTTTACATATTTAATAAACAGTCCAGTTCTGAAAACCTTGAAAAATATTATTTTGTATTATGCTTTTATAATGTATGTAATAATTGAATATATATTTTGAATTTAGGTTCTGACGTTCTAAAATTTCATTTCAGAGTGCAGGTACGAAACAAATTTGATAGGAAATTTCATGCTAGTGCAATGCAAGGACGGATGTGCATGTACTAACGGTCTGGGTTGGGCTGAAACCCATTCATGTTAACATAACATGTTAACAAGTAGTAACAAAAATATATTTTGATATTTCCCCTTGCCCAACCCAAACAATAATCAACCCATTTAACTCACTTTATTTAGTTGAGCCCAAAACAGATTATATAGGATTTACTCTTTCAAATTCCCTTTCTATCACCTCATGAAACGGAAAATAAACCCCTTTGTGACATGTGAATAAATAATAATAATAATAATAATAATAATAATAATAATAATAATAATAATAATAATAATAATAATAATAATAATGCATCCCCAACGAGTAAAAAGGCTAATCGCACGAAGACAAGAATATAGTATATATATTGGATCAAATGATCAGTCCCTTATTTAAAATGAGAATGCTAGTTTCGATCCTAACCATTCATTAAGGAACATAACGTGTGATCAAGATTTAATTTTATATTTTTATTTTTATAATTATTTATATATTAATTTCTCCATTTGGATCGTTGACCGTTGACTTACAGCGTTAACCGTTAACTTCTCGCGTTTGCTTTTGACTTCCGACATTGACAGCTGACCGTATTATGCATTATGTGTAAACTAAATGTGTATTGTGTATAAAGTAAAAGCGTACTCGAAATATAGAGTTGATATGAACTAAATATGTATATTAAATATCTATTTCTTTATTAGCCAAATGCGCATTATTTATTAAGTTCTTTTCCTTCTGCCGTCTGCCTCCTCCCAGCGGGGCTCTCTGCGCAGTCGTGCTGCTGCCGCCGTTGGACTCTTCGTCGAGGTGGAGATTTCGCGGTCGATTGGGGTTTTTTTGTGTCGTGTTGCTTCGGCTGGCTTTTGATGGCTAGTGGTCTTCCGACGTCTCGATGGTGGGGTTGGGTGGTGTGCTCTGATTTATGCTGCGGGAGGTCGAAATAGAGGTGAGTCCCCTTTCTTTCCCTTTTTTTCTTGCTAGCCTGATGTTGGTGCGTAAGTCCCAGCCGAAAGTGGAGAGTCGCTGCCTGTGGCTGCTTGGCTGATGTCGTCGGTGGTTGTCGATGGGGTTGGTGGTTGGGGTTTCTGTGGTGCCCTGCTGCCCCTGGTATTCCCGTTGTCCCTAGTGTTGGGAGACGGGCTTTCGCCAGTGGTGTCGATCAAGGGCTCGGCTTGTCTGCGGGCTTCTAGCTTCTGGTCGGTGTGGTTGTGCGAGTCTGGGGATGACTTCGAGTTGATTGGTGCGTTGGTGACTACCTAGGAGAGTTTTCGGGGCGAAAGTATCGGATCTTGTTAGGCGTTTTCTGCAGTTTCAGGTCTTGCTGCTTTGGCTCGGTCTTCTCTCTGATTTGGTGCGTGCCCTCGGTGGTGGTAGCGTCGTTTTGTGGAGTTGTTTTCTTGTTGTGGAAGAGGGCCCTATTTGGTGTTTAGTTTTCTTGTGTTCGTAGTGTCGTTGTGTTGTTCCATTTCTCTGCTTATCGACGCTTAAGATGTAGGAGACTGGCCTCGATTGGGTTTCGACCCCTTTTTGGTTGCCAATTAGGGTGATGGTCGATCAACATGTAGGTGTTGTGGTGGAGCGGGTTTCGTTTTGTGGTTGTGTGGTGTGTTTTTTTTCCTTTTTCGTGGATTTGTGTTTGTGTTTTTCTCCAGTAGGGGAGTCTGTATTCTCCCGTATGGGAGGTTTTTATTCTCCAATTGTGGAGCTTCTTAGTTTAGCTTGTGTGTTTGTGGGTGCGTTGTGTGCTTTTGTTAGCTTCTAGGCGATCTTCAGATCTGTCCGCCCACTAGATTCGGCTCAAAAGCTGTCTTATTCAATTGTCGGGTTGTATTCTTTAGTTGTAATTATGTGTTTTACATTATATAAAATTTTCTATCGTTCCGACAAATAAAAGAAATATGCAGTTGATACGAATATGTATTTGGTATAAATTAAATATGCAATATGAACTAAGTGTGCGACAATAATATCAACTAAGTATATATGCATTGTGAATGAACTAAATATATATTACGTATGAACTAAAAGTGCATTTTGTACCAACTAAATGTGCAGTCAAAATATGCAATCGACGTCAATATCCTGGAGCCTAACTACTACTAAGTATCAATCAAATATGCATTGTTCATATACTAAATATGCACTATGCATGAATTAATATGCATTTTGTATGAAAAAAATATGTATTGTGTATTACATAATTTATATTTAAAATAAAAAAACATTATATCAAACAATTATATCATAAAAAATATATTGACCGGTTTGGCCAACTGCTGGTCGGTGGTCAACGGTTGCCGTCAACGGTCAACGTAGGTCAATCAATTTAATTTTAGTACGTAATTAACTTAAATATAATAATAATAATTATTTATTTATATAAATAATATAAGTTTCTATTGATTAATATGAGCCATTGATCTACACAAACCAATAGCTAGGATTGAGCCTTATCCCTATTATAAGAAAGTGTCCTATTGGATCCACCTTATTTTAAGATTTTTCAATGATAGTGTAACATTGACTAAATGCTTAATTGCAACTAGAAGTGTTATTGATATCGCTTTATAAAATTTCTGTTGTTCTTTGTAGCCACGATCTCCATGTTAACAGAATGAGGGGACATGGATATGATGGTGCTAGTAACATGCGTAGTTCGTAGAATTTGCTTCAAGCTTTATTTTTCAAAGATTGTCACATATGCATATTATTATATTCATTGTTTTGCACATCGTTTACGATTGACAATGGTTTATGCTACAATGTTCGCTAGTATTATTTGGGAATCCATTTGTCAATTGGATATTGTTGTTAATATCACTATTTCTTTGCCCAAGCGTGTTTCTATGTTGCGAGCTCTCAAAGACGTTAATTGAGAGTTTTTTGGTAAATGGAGAGCGGGACTCACCATGTGGTGCCAATCAAATTGGTAACTTTCAACGTGCTGGTACCACTCGCCATAATTATCATTATAACAACATGAAGAGTTTGATTGATGTATGTTTCTACTTGCAAAGCGTTTAAAAATCACATAGAGCATTGTCCTAGATGAATATCTCGGACCAAAGTTCATGTGGTTTATAGAAATATGACAACCTTTGAATTTATATTCATCTAGCATGTGACGCATGAAATTTTCAGAATCATTGATGCTATTTG